GGTCCATTTCCGATTGTCAATAGTGTAGCTATGTTTAAAGCACATCTCACACAAAAGCCACTTTTTTTGTTGGTTAATTTGGTTAGTTTGCGTGACCAACTTGAACCTGTAGGAGAATTTGTTCACCACCCTCACATGAAATTCCCAATTGCTAATTAAGATGACTGGATTTTGCTCACTCAGAACAACGGTAGATGTGAACTCAGCTTTATAATCGTTAAACATAAAGCACACACAAATATTAGGTAATATTGTCAATCTTTAAGTACACACTGCGAGATAAACTGTTTTCTGTTGATACATTTCAGTACCAAATTATTTATATATTTATATTAAATATACATTTACTTTCACTGATCTCTAAGATGCTAAATAGCTTTATTTAATGGTTAGGACCATACGAACAGAAGAGTCGGCGTGGGGTGATGACGAGGAATCTTCTGAGCACGATTACTACAACAGCATCCCTGGAAAGGAGCCTCCTGTGGGGGGAGTGGTGGACTCTAGGCTCAGGCCTCCTGCGGGCCTACTGGGTCACGTCCATACGCAACCACAGAGCAAAACCGCTCAGGTAAACTTTATTATATAGACTTTATTATAGATGTGTGTGGATTTTTATTGCTGTCTTTTATGAACAGCATGAAGTTTGTGGAGACAATTCGCTAAGGTTGGTCTTAATAAAAAAACATCCATTTCTGTGAGTGGCGTTAGTTAGCATAACGCTAATGGCTTCAGGAAAATAGCTGTTTATGAATACAGCACATCCTGTAATGAAAGCTGAAAGCCCATATGCCATTTGTAAGAAATGAGCAATTCTTCAGTTATTAATGCTTATTTTTTAAATGACTTAACCTTTTGAAACCTTTGACCTCTTTAACCTGACCTGTCAAACCATCTATCATTATTTGCTTTAAGTACCTTCTGCACTGCAAAAAAATCTATATCTTAATTTCTATCTATCTATCTATCTATCTATACAAGTGTGTTGTACTCATGCAACTGATCTCACACCTGTGCTTATTTTTTCAGACGGGGTCACCGGCCAAAAGAGATACAGGCAGCCTTGCTGCCGCCCACTTGTGTTATGAAGTGCACTGGGACACGGAGAACAACAGCAGCTCAAGTGAGACGCCTGCTGGTTATTTATCAGCATTACGTTACTCTTGTGATATTTTAGTACTTTGAAGTGATTTCTGAGCCTTTTACTGGGTTTGATATTCCAGATGTTCCCTTCTAATTGCTTAGTTATTTACACTCTTTAAATAAAGGTTCCAAAAGGGGTTTTTCGCAGCGATGCCATAGAACAGAGGTGTCCAAACCTGTTCCTGAAGGGCTATAGAAGAACCATTTTGGTGCCACAAAGAACCTTTCAGTGAACAGTCCTTAAAAGAACAATTTTTTTCTTAGTGGGTAATCTAAAGAACTTTTTCAGAATCTTTTTTCGTCAGAAAGGTTCTATGGATGTTAAAGGTTCTACATGGAACCATCAATGGCAATTAAGAACATTTATTTTTAAGAGTCTAGTAACCTGTTTATTTTCCTTTCACTGTTTCTGTAGCTTTGACTTCCGATGGTTACCTCCGAGCAGACGGTCATCCTACAGGTAGCCGCGATTACGAGGAACATCTGTATGTAAACACCCAGAATCTGGACAACATGGAGGCCTCAATGGATGCCCGAGGAGGACGCAGATCCGAGAGTCCAAAGAAAGACATTTTTGATATGAGTGAGTCCAATACAAATGACTGTATTACGATTATATATGTTTGATGAATACGTTAACTACCATTCGTACTGTTTTCAACCCAACAGGGCCATTTGAGGACGCCCTGCGTCTACACGAGGCTGGAGGAGTTTGTGTATTAGAGGACAAGTGGCCAAGTCCCCCGTGGCGCCGGGCCCCCGTCGCCCCCACGGAGGACCAGCTGCGGCGGGAGATGTGGTACCATGGACGCATGAGCCGCAGGGATGCAGAGAATCTGCTGGGTCGAGATGGAGATTTCCTGGTGCGGGACAGCGCCACTAACCCGGGCCAGTATGTGCTGACTGGGATGCAGTGTGGGCTTCCCAAACATCTGCTGTTGGTGGATCCTGAAGGAGTGGTGAGTGGCGCTTCAAGCTCAGTTTTTATACTGTAGATTTAGATGAGGATCCAGTTTGATGTCAGAGTTGGGTTTCCAAGAACTCACGAAGTAATCAATGAAACCCCCAAGGATTGGGGTATGTTGTACAGGTATGTGGAATCAAAGTATATTTCACTATTGATATGAAAGCAATCCAGGCCTTATTTGCCTGATAAGTTGTCTATTAATGATTTGCTTGATTGTCGTAGTTCTGTTGATGACAACAACAACAACAACAACAATAATAATAATTAAATAAATGTTTATATTTATATAGCATTCATATTTTAGAAAAAAATACACAAAATAAAAAATAAAATAAGTGAAATAAAATATTTAAAAATAAATGTTTTTTATTTGTATAACACTGTTCATAAATAAAATGATTCACAGGACACAATATAAAAGTATTTTGATAAATATATTCAAATTTAATAATTCTACAAAAATAATTAAAAACGAAACAAATAAGAAAATAAAATTGAAATGAGAATAAAATAATATTAATTATAATGTGTTATGTATTGTAATATAATATAAAATAGAAATATGTTATTAAAAAACTAAGAAGAAATGACATGAATGTACAGATAAATATGCTAAAAATTAAAGTGAAAAATTTAAAATAGGAATTATTATTAAAAAGTCAGTAAAAATAAAATAAAAAGGGAGAATATAATAATAATACTATTATTAATAATAATAATAGTAATAATAATTATAAATGTTAGTTGGCTAAAAAAAATTAAAGTAAACAAAAAAGGGATAAAATGCTAAAATGATTTTTATTATTATTATGAAAAATAATCTAACTTTGCACCGTCAAACCAATTATGAAAACACCCTTATAAACCACATCAGTTGACATTTTCCTTATATGGCCATAATTTATTAATTAATTTTTCATTAGGTTCGGACTAAAGACATGCTTTTTGAGAGCATCAGCCACCTGATCAACTACCACCTGACAAACAAGCTGCCGATTGTTGCAGCAGAGAGCGAGTTACACCTCCAGCAGGTGGTCTGCAGAAAGAACTGACTTCCAGTTGAAGCCCATATAGAGTACATGGTAAGAGGTTTGCTGCATTTTTCTACAGATTATCAAAGCTGTTTGGTTGGGTAATTCATAGCTTATGTATTGTGTTTTTTTAGGGCGCAAGGCCGTCCCCCTGTGCTGCCAATCTAGAGGCCCCACACTATTGCCTTAAACAGACTCTGAGCTTCCACTGGGACTTGTGGGATATCGCTGTTCCTTAGGCATCGACCACAAACAGCTTTCAGCATGTCTTGCTCAATCCACCCCTTCTTCAACAGAGAAGACCCCAACTGAGAGTTTGGCATTGGGAAATAAAGTGCTTGTGAACACTTTTTCCCAGCAGACTGTTCAGAAATGTGAACTTATGTGAAACACATGAGACAAACCGTCAGATTCCTTTACATCCATACGAGCGCTCATCCTCAGTGAGCTGTTGTTTCTAAATGTGATGTATTGAGTAACCGTGGATCTGATCTTCTCTGAAGGTCACCTCTGACACTCTGGACTTCATTGTGTTGTGCTTACCAACGGTTTGCTCTCAGGATGCAGTATTTAAGGACGTTATATAAAGCTCAGTCGCTCTCTAATGCAGTCTTATCAAATGCACATGTTTCATTTATGAACTCAGGACCAAACGTTTGGGTCGTGCTCATGTGATATTGCCCTTTTTTAAACCTGAGTGATTCAGACATGCATTATACTAAACAAATATTCCATTTCTCTTTTGTGTTTAGTCACAAACAAACACCCACAATGCGTACAGTTTTGTTTAAAGGTGCATTCGGTAGTTTGGTGCTCATTAAAAAAAACATGTGGTCACATTAACAAAACATAAGCGTAAATTTGCGGGTAAAGAAGGTTTGTTATCCATTATCAATAGTGTAGCGATGCATGAAGCACTGCTTAATCAGAGGTCAGTTCCAAACTAAGCAACTTTTTATTGGCAAATGTGGTGAATTTGCAACAATGCAAACTTGAATCTGATGTGAAATCCACATGGGGAAATATTTCTCCTCAAGGTTCCGTCACATTTGCCTAGGTTAAGCGAATTTTCGTCATTTCAATAGGACAAACAAGCTGCTGATTTACGTAACAAACTTTAATATGATGCGAAATTTGGTAAATGTGTCATTAGTGCGAATAAAATCATTGGATGTGTCAAACTGGATTGTCAATAAGCTCTTCGCTGATTGGCTTGCGCGACAACGCGAATTTTCCGCTCCAGTTGAAATTTTTCAACTTGCGTGGAAGACGTTATTGAGGCGTATATCGCACGTTTCGTGGCAATCGCCTCGCCCGGGCGAATTTGCGTCTATTGGTGTCTTTGCATTGATTTTGCATGTAATCTACTCGTGCGAATAATTAAGTTCGCTTCTGGTGTGCACACACCATTACTAAAACATAATAATGCTCTCCTCCATTTTCTGATACAACTGACAACGCGTCATGCGAATTTCCCACTTTAGTTGAAAATGTTAGTTTTTCAACTTGCGCGGAAGACACGATTGAGACAAATATCGTGTTCGCCGCAAATGCTTAGCTCATTTCACATCATTCGTGTCGCCCTGTGCAAATCTGCATCTATTCGCTATTGACAATAGTCAATTTTTCCCCCAAAATTTTGATGCTAATGCATCCCTTGCTAACTTTCTTGCGTCCCTCACACAAAATTCTAGATTGCGCGGATTCCTATGGAGGTGACTGTATTTCGCTGTAGCCTACAATATGAATGCACCCTAAAAAGTAAATCCTCACAATCCTGTAGATACGCTAGTAGCGAAGTGTAGTCTGGTGATGTGAAAAACGAAAATTAGACATTGAAACTTATTGCGCTTTATCAGTGAAGATAAAAAAGCGTTTAACACCATGTGGCTTTGGTACTTAAACTACACAAAAAACAGCAATGCTAACGCTAGCTAACTACTGAATGCACCTTTAAAGTATGTATTATTTTGCTGTTTATCTGGGCACAAAAGTCAACCACAAACTTTTTTTTATACATTTCAATAAATAGTTCGTAATGTCAAACCATCTTATTTCAACCTAAAAGCTGCTTTCTGGAGAAATGTCATCAAATGAAACCTGCCTCTATAAATGTTCAAATATTCTGGTTATATAAAAAGAAGAGTCTGGCTCACTACAGTGTATAAAGAACCACATTTTCTTTGTCTTCCCCCACTATCCAAAAAGAAGATTCCAGTGCCTTAAAAGTTTTTATTTTTTACTTCAAAAATCCTTCCACTTACTTAGGGTTTATACATCCTTTCTGCATCCTAGTTTCTGTTATTAAGCTCTTGCATACAGTATGCCAGCAGCTGAATTTGGAATAACATAGCACACTACTCTTACTATTTCAGCAATATTAGAATATGGCAGAAATAGAAACAATAGCCAGGGTTTATCTAGTTAGCATACTTCAATTAGAATCAGATAGCAGATGCTGTAGCTACACCATTTGGGTCCAAAAAGCATCTTTATCCACTGACAAGCATTTAAAAGTATCCATGGGTTTTTGCAAACAAAATATAAATCACAGATATTTCAAAACACATACTTGCAGGGCTCTTGCTCCAGCCTAGCAACTGACATTGAGATAAATGTGAATGCTAGCGGCTAGCTTTCTCCAGGTATTCTAGACCTCATTGCCACCACGAAAACCACTTTACTTTCTCAGGATGTTGTTTCTCTGTGCTCTGTTACTCTGATCTAAAAGCATTCTCAATAAAACTGAACAGGAAGGGAAAAGTAAAAGGAAATGTTTGGTTTATTTTTAAAGAAACAGTACTCCCAAAATGCAAATGTTGCCATTATTGTCCATACGACTTGCAATGTTGGTCACGAGTCATATGGATTACTTTTATGATGTTTTGTTATTTTTGAGAGCTTAACATTGTACACTACCATTCAAATGTTTGTGGTGAGGTTTGATGTTTTTGAAATAAGTCTCTTATGCTCACCAAGGATGCATTTATTTGATCAAAAATAATCCTGATATGCTGATTTGCTGCTTAAGAAATATTTTTTACTATTATCAATGATGAAAACAGTTGTGCTGTCTAATATTTTTGTGGAAACTGTGATGCTTCTTTCAGGATCCTTTGATAAATAGAAAATTCAAAAGAGTGGCATTTATTTGAAACAAAAGCCTTTTGTAACATTACAAATGACTTTTCTGTACCGTCCACTAGGGCTGCCAAAATGGCTGAAAAACTAAATTCGAAAATTTTATTCGAATTTAAAACGCATAATTTCAGTTAGGGTGAAGAAAAGCCTTTGACTTCTCTCCTGAGGCCACAAGAGGGCGCATCGAGCTAAATATTACTAATGCACGTTTATTCAAAGCATCAGGTAACACGACTATCTGTGAAAAAAGTGCATAATGTTTAAAATAATGTTTATAAACCGATTATAATTAATTAAGTTGCTTCATCAACTATAAACAAAACAGCATCATGTATGTATGCATAGTTTAATACAAAGGGCCGAACACCAATCACACAAGAGTACATTTTTCATTTAAAAACACGAGATGCAATGGAATGGGGAAAACACCAACGATAAAGTCTCGAGATATGTTTTTTCAAAGTTAAACTTGCATTCATTTTACATGGATTTCTAAACATGCGGCTCTTTTGTGTGAGACGCCAGTGCTACGGTGATAGATGTCCCTCTAGAAAATGCGCAAAATATGCGTTCTGTGTGAACGGCTTGGTTTCAGTTTTAAAGTAAACAAGATCTGCTCTGCATTGATGTTCTCTTTTCCCGCAATATTTGTAATTAACAACGCAGCACAATGACACTGACATCGTCATCGCATCTCTTGCGCCACTGATAAGGCTGCCTTCTTAACGCACACCTAAAATTCGAATGCAACGTTTTTGCATTCGAATGTGGACTTTTATTTTAAATTTGACAAATATTCGAAACTAGATTTTTTTTTTTGACAGCCCTACCGTCCACCTTCATTGTATGGAAAAGAGCAGCATGGACATTCTGCCAAGCATCTCCTTGTTTTTTTTTAACAGAAGAAAAAATAATACAGGTTCATAACAAATTAGAATTTTACATGAAATATTACTCTGATTTCAAAAGGAAAAGAAACCTGTACTAACAGACGTGCTCAGCTGTTTGTGGTGAGATCATGTGGATGTGCCAGACCTGAATACCAGCTGAGTTTGAAATAGATTACCTGTGGTGTGCTACGCATCTTTTTAACACCACGGAAATTCATCAAAAATTTTGACATACAGTACTGTGAGAGGCCTGCAAAGAAAGTGTCAACCACAGAGTTACAAAGAAAGGCACATCAGCAGCATTTCTCCGTTTATTGAAATGTGGTACAAAAGTATCTGTGTTGTCCCTCATAAATCATCACATACAGGAAATATAATCATCTCTGTCATGTTCCAAAACTATATCTTCTCATTCAGTTTCAGTGCCTCTTGTAGGCGGTGCACAGTGGTGATACACTTTGGTTCAAGGGTACGTATAGCAGTCACTTGAACTCTTTGTGTTGCTGTCAGTTGCAAAGCACTAATTTTGACCTTTCTGTGTCATACGGAGGATTTGAAGCAAAAGCGCCTGAACTTCTTCATCCATCCGGCCCTGTTAAGTCATAAACAGTCACATAGGTATGTGTAACATAAGACGTTCCTGTAGATGTAAGGTTGGGTTATGTGTCTCACCTGTACAGCAGCTAATAGATGAGAACGATATACTGAAACGACAGTCTTGTGTTTGCGCTCCCAGTCCTGAGCACAAGATGAAAGGAAAGACTTTAGACGTGTGTTATTCATTTAAACGCGCACACTTTTAAATATAAAGGTTCTTTATTGGCAATCCATGGAATCTTTCCATTCCGCATAAGGTTCTCTATAGTGGAAAAAGGTTCTTGAGATTATTAAAATGTTCTTCACACTAAGGAAAAAATGGTTCTTTTCACTGAAAGTTTTTTAGGGAAGCAAAATCGGTTCTTCTACACTCTTAAAAATGAAGGTTCCAAAAGGTGGTCTTCACAGCAATGCCACAGAAGAACTTTTTTTGGTTCCCCAAAGAACCTTTCCTTGAACAGCTCTTAAAAGAACCATTCGTTTCTTCATGTGAAGAACATTATAAAAATCAGAAGAACTTTTTTCCACTATAAATAACCTTTTGTGCAAGGTTCCAGGGATCTTAAAGGTTCCTCATGGAACCATCAATGTCCATAAAGAACCTTTATTTTTTAAGCGTGTAATTATCAATAAGGCTGATAAAGCGAGGAGCGTTACGCTCACCTGGAGTTGCTGTGTTAATGCGGTTACACGGTTCTGCAGTGCCAACTGTTGTCCAGGTATCCCTGAGGATGGTGGCGATGGAGAACGTGCCAGTGGAGGAGTCAGAGCCCCCAGAGCCTCCTTCAGACGAAAAACCTCCTTAGACAACTCTGTGATCTGCAGGGAGACGGTAAGAAAGCGGAAAAAGAAAGAATCAAATGTCCATATCATGGATTTTTACATCATTCACAGTGATCTGTGAGAATGGACAGGCGCTAAAGTGTTATTTGGATGGAATTTACTGATGCGATTCTCTGATTGGTGGAATTTTTTCCAGAATTATGGGTAATGTAGTTTTTCCCCACTAATTCCACTACTGAACATGATTATGTACTGACGACTTCAACAAATATATATAGCATCGATTAAAACCTTGTAGCTCACACTAGGTCTTTTTATGGTTTATAAGTTTTTGTTAAAAATCAATTCCCCTATTGAGAAAATGAATGGGATTTTGCTTCCAGAACCCAACTGCTGCACTCTATTCACAACTCCTCTCCTGTGGCCTCATGGGATAGTCAAGTGTCCATTAGATGTGCACTTCAGAGTCTCACTGGAGATCCAGGTACTTATCGCCTACTATTTTATCAATACTGTGAATTCGGACATACTACGGATTGTATAGTATGGAAGTAGGCATATTCGGATACAGCCCAACTTTTTTCCCCTCACACCTTGCGGTCTTTCTCCTTGATGAGCCCCTGCGAGTCTTGGATGTCCTGGTGCAGCTGTTGGATGTGGGTGGACTCGGCCTGAAGATCCGCCAGCTGCTTTTTAACTGCCTCCAGCTGGGATTCAGCCACCTGACGCTCGCTCTTATTAAATAAAGCCTCCCGCTGCACCTGGAACACCTGCGGAAGGAGACTTTTTAAAAATAAAACTTGGCTCGTTTTTAACATGTGCAAATAGGTGGAGTGGAAACTGTCATAAACAACATCAAGGACAACACACACCTCAGTGCATGTCTTTTCGTGCTTGCGTGCTAGATCGGCTAACTGGGCCATCAGGGTATTGATCTCAGCCTGTAGGGAGAGTCTCTGGGCCTCATGGTCTTCTTTGGACACCAGTCCCTGTTCTAAAGCTTTCTGCGATCGCAGCTCTTTCAGTTCCGTCTCTTTTTCACTCAGAGACTCCTGAGCCGCTCTTGCACTCTGCCGACTCTCCTCTAGAGAGCGCTCTAGCTCTGCCTGAAGTGAGGAAGAATCAAGCTCAGAAACCATAGTTCAAGGGTGTCCAAACCTGCTCCTAGTGGGTCAACATTCTGCAAAACTTAACTCCAACTTGCCCCAACACACTCCTTAATTAGGGTTGGAGCTAAACTCTGCAGGACAGTGGCCCTCCAGGACCAGGAATGGACACCCCTTTTCTATGCATAGAGAAAAAAGCATTTCTGCAGTATTAGCATTTATTCTATTCCAAATGCGTGTTTTTACTTCAGTGAATCAATTCTTACAGATGAGTGCTTTGTGAATTATTTTGAATGAGTCCTTAAAAGGATTCATTTGCAAATTGGACAATGCTACATTTTAGTATCTTATGTAACTTACCTTGACTTTATCATGTTCTTCCTTGTTAACGGAGTCTTTTTGCACAGCCTGCAGTTCGGATTCCAGTCTGGCGAGCTCAGTTTGAGCTTGCTCACACAGTGCCCGCTCTGCTTGCAGCTCTTTTTCTGTTTGCGCTAACTGCTGGGCTATTGCGGACAGCACCTCCTGGTGTTTCACAAGTGGTATTGCATCTCTCAGCTGTAGTGCATCCTGAGCCCGGCTTTCTCTCTCGGCACAAAGGCTGTCCAGAGCTTGTGCTGCATCTTGCCTTGCAACTTCCAGCTCCTCCTGTATCGCCTCTAAGGTCCGTCCGCCTGGCGACAGGTGCAGAAAGTGCTCTGATTGGTCAAAAATTCAAAAATAAAAAGTTATATTTAAAGGGGTCATATGATGCGATTTCAAGTTTTCCTTTCTCTTTGGAGTGTTACAAGCTGTTCGTGAATAGATAAGATCCCTAAAGTTGCAAAGACTAAAGTCTCAAACCCAAAGAGATATTCTTTATAAAAGTTAAGACTGGTCCACGCCCTCCTAAAACGCCTCGTTCAAACATGCCCCCACATGTCTACCTCACTGTGTGGGAAGATTTGCATAACACCATCCAAATGTTCACGCAAAGAAAGAAGACATAACTTTTATACTTGCTGTAGTATTGTTGCTGCCGCCACCATGTTGTGGAGACGCGGTGTGTTTTGTTGTGAAAGTGAAACTACTTTGTTTGGCCTTCCAAAAGAGGACACGATTAGAAATCAGTGGTTAAGTTGTATTTACAACACTGTTCCAGAACAGATCAACCCAAATATTCAGATGTGTGCAACGCATTTTACGGAGGACGAGGACTGTTTCCTGGGAGAGTAGACTACAATGCCAGCT